TCTATTCTGGTCCGATTCTAGTTCATTTCTAGTTCTAATCTCCTATGTTCTAATTCAGTTTTCATTGTCCGACAAAATTCTAAAATTTAATTACAATTCTAAACAATAGCTGCATATTTATGTAAATTATTGTTTTTGTAGTTCCTACATTTTCCACTGCACCATCTCCTCCTCTTTAATTGTTACGTTTTCATTGTTATTTTTTGTTTTCTGTTTTTTTCTTGATTATGTTTTGACTCTCAACATAAAAATCATAGAAAATGACAAGAACAACAACAACAGAATATTCTAGCCAAAATAAAGCCGTTATACAAAATTGTTGCTAAATAACTTAACAAATCATTCTAAATGTCCGTCTAAGCATATTTAAACACACACACACAAGTACATACATTTATTAGTAGTGCAAGAGATTCACATCACTAACAACAACACAAACAACCAGTTTCCACATCCGGTTTTACCGGCAAACAAAAAACAACATTTATACTCAAGTATTTTTTTTTTTTTTTTTTGAATTTAAAGCTCTCTCTTTCTCACCCATTATTCCCCACAAAGTTCAAACAACAACAAACAGTAAGTAATCTGTTTACAAAATTTGTTTTTGTTTGCATTAAGGAGACGAAGAAGAAGAACAATCCAAGAGATCAACAAGAAATAGTATGACGTTTCTTTTTTTGTATCTTTTTCTTTACATAAATACTATGTTGCATTTATATTCATGTAGCATGTTGCAACATTATTACATGTTTTTTATTATTGTTGCTAATGTTAGTGTTATGCATAAACAAACGGTTTGATATGTTTATTATGTTTTTTTTTATGAAATGAATGGAAGATATAAAAAAGAAACAGAAAAAACTAACTCATGGTTAAAGTAGAAGATAAAGAAGATAAGTTGAAATAATTGTATTTCTTGATTCTTTTACGTTTTTTTTTTTTTTTTTTTTGAAAAAAAGACTGAAGGCAACAACTAGATAGAATTGCACAACAGGCTGAGTTAGCAAGATTTTTTATATGAAAAAATATTAGGTGAGGGTAAAAGTAATTAGTAAAAAAACTGAACTGAACTGGAACTTAAGTGGAACTAAACAGATATGTAACTAAACTAGAACTGAAACTGAACTGGAACTTAACTTGAACTCAACTAGAGCTAAACTAGAACTAGTTAAAACTGTTCTAGATCTAAACTATTGGAAAAATCGTAAAGAATTTTTACCCCTACTCATGAATTTATGATTGGTCAATTGGTCTCACTCATCTTAGTTATTTGTTTTTGGTTCTTCAGCGCATTCCATTATGCTCACTTCTCCCTCTATCCCTGTTGACGCTCATAAAATTGTGAAAGGAGTTGTATATGCCTTATAAAAATAGAGTGTTGGAATTAGGTTACAAATACATACATATATAAGTATGTGTACATAAGTATGTACATATTTTTAAAGCTCATCTTTTTATCTATTTTTTATTATGTATTTTAGTTAATTATGTTTTATCATAAATTGCTATTTTTATTATAGTATATAATAGTTATCATTATGTGTAGTTTAATATTTATTTAAGTTTATTATAGTTTAAATGTGACAATTTAGAAAAAAAGTCACTTTTTGAGTGAAAAAAGTTAGAGTGTTTTTCACTCTTAATTGGGTTAAACTGTATGCTGTGAAAAATTGTTAAATATACTTTTTCCATTTAACTCTTTCTAAGAGAGTATATGTGTGTGGAGTGTATGGAAGTGTTCTATACAATGTGGGCATCCATTTAGAAAATTCATACTGCTGAGTTAGTTTCTGGGTTAAGTCTATAATTAATTGCTATAGATTTTTTGATTTATTAATATATCGACGACCTGATTTTCTTTTTATCTTAATACTTAAATGGCAAAAGAAAACTTAAGTTTTTATGGAATGAAAAAATTGTCAATGTGGAAAAAACAAGAACAGTCTAGAACAGAACTAGAACATTACTAGAACAGAACTAGAACAAAACTAGAACAGAACTAGAACAAAAACTAGAACAGAACTAGAACATAACTAGAACATAACTAGAACATAACTAGAACAGAACTAGAACAGAACTAGAACAGAACTAGAACAGAAACTATAACAGAACTAGAACAGAACTAGAACAGAACTTGAACATAACTAGAACATAACTAGAACTAACAGAACTAAACAGAACTAGAACAGAACTAGAACAGAACTAGAAACAGAACTAGAACAGAACTAGAACAGAACTAGAACAGAACTAGAACAGAACTAGAACAGAACTAGAACAGAACTAGAACAGAACTAGAACAGAACTAGAACAGAACTAGAACAGAACTAGAACAGAACTAGAACAGAACTAGAACAGAACTAGAACAGAACTAGAACAGAACTAGAACAGAACTAGAACAAACTAGAACAGAACTAGAACAGAACTAGAACAGAACTAGAACAGAACTAGAACAGAACTACAAAACTAAACAACTAGAACAGAACTAGAACAGAACAAGAACAGAACTACAACAAACTAGAACAGAACTAGAACAGAACTAGAACAGAACTAGAACAGAACTAGAACAGAACTAGAACAGAACAAGAACAGAACAAGAACAGAACAGAACAAGAACAGAACTAGAACAGAACTAGAACAGAACTAGAACAGAACTAGAACAGAACTAGAACAGAACAGAACTAGAACAGAACTAGAACAGAACTAGAACAGAACTAGAACAGAACTAGAACAGAACTAGAACAGAACTAGAACAGAACTAGAACAGAACTAGAACAGAACTAGAACAGAACTAGAACAGAACTAGAACAGAACTAGAACAGAACTAGAACAGAACTAGAACAGAACTAGAACAGAACTAGAACAGAACTAGAACATAACTAGAACAGAACTAGAACAGAACTAGAACAGAACTAGAACAGAACTAGAACAGAACTAGAACAGAACTAGAACAGAACTAGAACAGAACTAGAACAGAACTAGAACAGAACTAGAACAGAACTAAGAACAGACAGAACTAGAACAGAACTAGAACAGAACTAGAACAGAACTAGAACAGAACTAGAACAGAACTAGAACAGAACTAGAACAGAACTAGAACAGAACTAGACAACAGAACTGCACATAAACTAGCACGATAGCCAGAACTAGCACAATAGCACATAACTAAGAACAGAACTAGCACAGAACTCAGAACAGAACTAGGAACAGAACTTAAAGAACTAGAACAGAACTAGAACAGAACTAGAACAGAATGAACAACTAGAACAGAACTAGAACAGAACTAGAACAGAACTAGAACATAACTAGAACATAACTAGAACAGCACCTAGAACAGAACTAGAACAGAACTAGAACAGAACTAGAACAGAAACTAGAAACAGAACTAGGAACAGAACTTAGGAACAGAACACTAGAACAGAACTATAACAGAACTAGAAACCTAGAAACTAGAACAGAACTTAGAACAGAACTAGAACAGAACTAGAACAGAACTAGAACACCGAACTAGAACAGAACTTAGAACTTAACTAGAACAGAACTAGAACCGATACTAGAACAGAACTAGAACAGAACTAGAACAGAACTAGAACCGAACTTAGAACAGGAACTAGACAGAACTAGAAACAGAACTAGAACAGAACTAGAACAGAACTAGAACAGAACTAGAACAGAACTAGACAGAACTAGCACAGAACTAGGAACAGAACAGAACTAGAACAGAACTAGAACAGAACTAGAACAGAACTAGAACAGAACTAGAACAGAACTAGAACAGAACTAAAACAGAACTAGAACTCAACTAGGTCTCAACTAGAACTCAACAAAGACTCATTTAGAACGTAATTAGAACTCTATTAGAACTCGACTAGAACTCAACTAGATCACAACTAGAAATCAACTAGATCTCAACTAGAAGTTAATTAGATGTCAAGTAGAACTTAAAAGATTTCGGCTAGATCTCAACTAGAACTTAATTAGAACTGAACTAGAACTTAACAACTTTACTTTATTTCTTCTGCAGACATCTTAAAACAGTTTACATTACTTGTAATGACCAAAACAATTAAAACTTACACTCTCCAACAAATAATAAAATTCCCCGCCAGTTAAACTTCTAACTGTAAAAGTAACCCACAGACAAAAAAGTGGCTGCTCGTGCTGAAAGCTGGGCAGGGAGAAAAGTGATAAATAGAAATGTAAAATTGTTTAATTAAGAAACTTAGAAATGAAATAGATACTTAATACGTAATACGAGGGCCGTAAGAAAATTTGTTGGAAAAGTAAAAAAAAAGTTTGTAATCCAATCTTTCATGATCTTGTCTTGTGGCTATGACATTTAAAGTACTTTTCAAATTGCTTTCGTTTAATTTCTTATGGTAAAATATGTAAAAAATTCATGATTAATGTAACATTTCTACTGGCTGCTATTTCGTTTATTAGAAATGTATTGTCTGTCAGCTTCACACTCTCTTACTCTCACACAGAGTACAAACAAATATATCTACTGCTGCCTAAGCATAGTGTGTAGTAATAAATGACATACTACTTATGGTTACAAGTAAGCATGTATGTATGACTATCTGTAAGCAGGTTTATTTACTGGTATTTTATAATCTTGCCACAATTGTATATACATACATATGTATGTGTGTGTATGTGAAATGCATGTGTGTTTTTATGTCTATCTGGCAGTCAGTGTTGTTTAGATTTAAACGTTGGCTCATTAATTTACCGTAAACTTCAACTTCACCTTAATTTTGTTGTTATTGTTGGTGTTGTTGGTTGGGCTGTTGTTTTTTAGTCATATGTATAAACAAGACAAGTTTTTCTTTATTTTTTTTTTAACTTTTGTTGTTGTTTTTTTATTTAGTCATACTTAAAGAGAGTTCAACTTCATTCATTTATTTTATTTAATTTTTTTTTCTTGAGTCACACTTAAAGAAATGTTGTTTGTTTGTTTTTTTTTACTAAACATTTTCTCTTTTTTTTCTATTTTGCAGATTTTTTGTTTTTGTAATACGAATTTTTTAACATACATTTTAATGGTCAATGAAGGGCAATAAAAATGGTGATTGTAACACGCGTAAGTATTTATTTATTCTATTTTTTTTTAATAATTGTTAAAAATTAGAAATTTTTTACTTTATAAGAAAACTAGTTTTATTATTATTTTGTTGTCTTAGCTGGGAGTTTTAAGGCAATATTAAGTTGTATTTTTTTTAATCTAAAATATGCATCTTTTTTAACGCTATTATCAACTATTTATGCAGATGAAGAGAAATATTAGCATAATAAATTTTTTAGATTTTCTTTTGAGAATAATATGTGAAAAGAATTTTCCTGGGAAAATCGGAAATTATTATAGAAAGGAAACATTAATTGTCGAATGTTGGCAAAAAGGAGTTAAATTTTGCATAAAATATGTGGGATTTTTAAAAGTTATAGTTTAAACTATTGATTACATCACATAAACCCATAGTTTACATTAGGTAAACTATGAATTACATATAGTTTATACCAAAAATTCAAAGTTTTTATAAAATAAATAGTTTTTTTACGCAAATTTACATTGTTTACATGGTGTAAAGTTAAAATTACACTATGAAAACTATGTTTACTTTATGTAAACTGTTGTTTACATTATGAAAACTATTGTTTACACTATGTAAACTTTGGTTTACACAGTGTAAACTATTGTTTACACCAGCCGTTCCCACCGTTTTTTACTTCGCGGACCCCTTGAGGAATTTATTTAATTTCACGGACCCCCATACATATTTTGATATCTTATTGTTATAAATAACACTGTGATACAAAAGTGAAGAAAAATAAAATGCAGTCGTTCTCATATACCAATTCTATTTCGTTATGGTCCATAGAGTACGAATATATTTTTAGTTTTTCCCTATCACTTCGTTAACTTACTTTTTAAGAGCAAAAGATGCGAAAAAGAGCCATTTTTGAAATTTTAAATTTGAAAAATCATAAGTTTAGTAGTTTTCATCCGATTTTCAAATCCGATATTTTTTTTTAATGATACAAGTGTTGCCTTTTAATCCAAAAAAAGAAATCCAAAATTTATGGTCAAATGTCTGAGTTACGGTCGTTTAAGTAAAAAACTCACACTTTTTTAAAAAATTTTCATTTTCATCATGCTCTACTTTGGCCATGAGGCAGTGAGTTCATCTTTTATTACTTTCCTGAAGAATCACATAAAGAAAGGTTTCTAAAACTTGTTATTTCATAAAAATCTATGAAAAACTGGATGATTTATGACAATTTTTCTAATAGCATGTTCCTCGAATTTTTGGTTTTCTCCATACAAATTAATTTTTGCATAAAAATGTTTATAAACATTTTTTAAACTTGTTACAAAGAAAACCAGAAACATGAACATTTTTGTATGGAAGAAATATGCTATATTTTTATAAAACTGAGCACAACTCATAACCTTTTTCATCGATTATCATAAATTGACCATCATTGGAAACCCAACTTAATGTGCCTTTTTTCAAATGTAATAAAAGCTAAAGTTACTGCTTCATGGCCAACGCACAGTGGTATAGGAAAAAAAAAGAGGGAAATAATTCGGTAACTTCTAAACGGTTAATCCGATTTTAATGAAATTTGGTATGCACAAAGAGGAGGTGTTGTCGAGTTTAGGTTTTGAATTTGGACCTTATAGGCCAACCAGGGGCCCGGCGGGGGGTCCTCAAATTAGGACACCTCGGCTATGTTAAATTTTTAAAACGATCCTATTTCTTCATTTGAGTTCCGATTTAAAAAAAATTTCGTATATAGAATCTCCTCATCGAGCACTATAAAAAATGTCGTCGTAGCAGTAAATTATCTCTTATAGTTTAGGAGATATTCGCATTTGAATATTAAAATTTTAAAATTTTTACCGTCCTTACTTTAGTTTTTTTGATAATAGCAGGTCCAAATATTTCCGATTTTCGCCATTTTTTTTTATTTGCTTAACAACAAGTTTATATACCAAGCAGTGAAAGAATTATGTAAAAATCATGACTGAGTCCAAAGTTATAGGCATTTAAATTTAAAAAATTAAAAAAAGGCGATTTTTTGTCATTTTTTTTGGGAAAAAAGTATCTTTTTCTTTTTAAGTTATCTAAAAAGTTTCTAAGAAGATGTATATAGAATTTATACTTTTTGGAAAGCTGACTTTACATAAAATACGATAAATGAAACAAAACCTAAAAATTTTTGATACCGAGGGGACCAGGTCCATCCAAAAAAACCCTATTTTTTATGGAAAATTAAATTTTGAGCAAAAATTCTCAAATCGCATAGTCGATATCAAATTATAGTGACCTGTTTTATATGACCCAATAAGTTCTTAATCATTTTGTAACGGGTTTCGATAACCCCGCCCCTGGTATGGATATAATAGGCAAAAAACCAAAAAATCCCATTTTTGGGATTTTTTAAAACTTTTTTGGGAATTCCGGGATTTCTAATAAGAAAATTCGAAATTTTTATTTAATTTTGGATTTTGAGTAAAAAAATCTACCTAACTGTAAAATTTCATCAAAAAATATTCATAAATAAAATTTTTATTGCAATTTGAAAAATTTGTATCTTCGCAAAAACTGAATAAAAAACATTTTTTAATTTTTTTTAAAAAAGTATTCCGCGAATTTTTTAATTTTCAAAAATTATATACAGTTTTGAAAAATAGACAAAATTACCTTTCCATTGATATATAACATGCCTACCTAATGTTTTTTAAGTGACAAATTAATTAGGGAAAACTCAACATCTTTTAGAAAATTTACCTAGCACTATTATTTTCATCCATATATGTAACAAATTTAAGAGTTAACCTTATGGATGAAAATAATAGTGCTAGGCAAATTTTCTAAAAGATGTTGAGTTTTCCCTAATTAATTTGTCACTTAAAAAACATTAGGTAGGCATGTTATATATCAATGGAAAGGTAATTTTGTCTATTTTTCAAAACTGTATATAATTTTTGAAAATTAAAAAATTCGCGGAATACTTTTTTTAAAAAAAATTAAAAAATGTTTTTTATTCAGTTTTTGCGAAGATACAAATTTTTCAAATTGCAATAAAAATTTTATTTATGAATATTTTTTGATGAAATTTTACAGTTAGGTAGATTTTTTTACTCAAAATCCAAAATTAAATAAAAATTTCGAATTTTCTTATTAGAAATCCCGGAATTCCCAAAAAAGTTTTAAAAAATCCCAAAAATGGGATTTTTTGGTTTTTTGCCTATTATATCCATACCAGGGGCGGGGTTATCGAAACCCGTTACAAAATGATTAAGAACTTATTGGGTCATATAAAACAGGTCACTATAATTTGATATCGACTATGCGATTTGAGAATTTTTGCTCAAAATTTAATTTTCCATAAAAAATAGGGTTTTTTTGGATGGACCTGGTCCCCTCGGTATCAAAAATTTTTAGGTTTTGTTTCATTTATCGTATTTTATGTAAAGTCAGCTTTCCAAAAAGTATAAATTCTATATACATCTTCTTAGAAACTTTTTAGATAACTTAAAAAGAAAAAGATACTTTTTTCCCAAAAAAATGACAAAAAATCGCCTTTTTTTAATTTTTTAAATTTAAATGCCTATAACTTTGGACTCAGTCATGATTTTTACACAATTCTTTCACTGCTTGGTATATAAACTTGTTGTTAAGCAAATAAAAAAAAATGGCGAAAATCGGAAATATTTGGACCTGCTATTATCAAAAAAACTAAAGTAAGGACGGTAAAAATTTTAAAATTTTAATATTCAAATGCGAATATCTCCTAAACTATAAGAGATAATTTACTGCTACGACGACATTTTTTATAGTGCTCGATGAGGAGATTCTATATACGAAATTTTTTTTAAATCGGAACTCAAATGAAGGAATAGGATCGTTTTAAAAATTTAACATAGCCGAGGTGTCCTAATTTGAGGACCCCCCGCCGGGCCCCTGGTTGGCCTATAAGGTCCAAATTCAAAACCTAAACTCGACAACACCTCCTCTTTGTGCACACCAAATTTCATTAAAATCGGATTAACCGTTTAGAAGTTACCGAATTATTTCCCTCTTTTTTTTTTCCTATACCACTGTGCAACGTAGAGCAGTATGAAAATTAAAAATTGTTGAAAAAGTGTGAGTTTTTTTACTTAAATGGCCGTAACCAAGACATTAATCATAAATTTTGGATTTATTTTTTTGGGTTGAAAGACAACACTTGTATCTTTAAAACAAAATATCCAATTTGAAAATCGGTTGCAAACTACCAAACATATATTGTTTTAAAGTTAAAACTTCAAAAATAGCTCTTTTTCACATCTTTTGCTCTTAAAGAGGAACTAAACGAAGTGAACGGGAGAAATTAAAAATATATTCCTACTCTATGGACTATAACGAAATGGAATTGGTATATGAGAACCCCTGCATTTTTTTGCTGTATCACTGTGTAATTGTTCGTCCGAAAATTGTCTTAGTCCTGGTTCATAAACCCTATAAAATATTCCCGTACATTGAGAATATTTAGTATTTCGGAGATGTTTTCAATTGCATGGTTTTAAATATAGAATGACTTCTAACATGATGTTTAATTTTATGATCGTGAGAGCTTTCATGTTCATTTCTCGTCAAGGTAGCGAAAAGGTTTCTTTATCAAGTATTGTCGACATGTGCTTAAAGAGTCATGTTTCTAAATTTTTTTTTGCGATTGCATAGGAGTGAGCTGAGTATGTAAGCTAAGTTTTCGGGAAAATATGTGAAAGTTAGACTTCTTCGATGTTGTTGCGGAATGCGTTACCCACATAAAATATGACCTGAACTCTTTGCGAATGTACTGTGAATTTGGATCTTAAATTTGAATTTTAAAATACCTACGAATTATTTTACTGCGTGGTTTTGACTATTTACGCATAACGCTATGAATTTTCTGATGTTGATTTAATAATATTGAACAACAAAATTAAGTTAAAATCTGTGTATCACGTCGGAATGGAATATTTATATTTAAAATTAACTAGATTAACACTTTTGCTTACAATTTAAAAAAAATATGAAATGTGACCTAACT